TTTATTTCAAATTCTGTAAAGTTTTCTGATGTACTGTATTTCTGCTCTAAACATCTACGAACTGCCCTGAAGTTCAAAAAATTTCATAGTAGATCTCCGAATTTTTCTAAAGTTCTACAGACTTCTATTAAGGTCTACGGACTTCTCTTAAGGTCTACGGACTTCTCTGAAGTTCTTTAGATCTATCTATTTCCGACTTCCATGGAGTTCTGCAAATATTGTACTTGTTTTTGGAATTGAGGTGCTTTTCTGACATTTAACGAACTTTTCGGAAGATCTCACATTTGTGTGAAACTGTGAAACTTTCTGTCAAATTCCTGCAAATATCTTTAAAGTTCTGTAAAGTTGTCTTAAGCTCCGTAGCTCTATTCCCAAGATCTACAAAAAAAAAACTTGAGGCTCAATAAATTTCTCAGTAGATCTGCAACATCTCTTATGTTTTGTAAATTCCTTTCAGGTTACCCTGAAGATTTGAAAATTTCCTTGAAGATTACCTAAAGTTGTCAAAATTTATCTGAAAATATTTGAGCTTCCTTGAAGTTTTAAATGTCTCTCTCAAGATCTACAAATTTTCCTGAAATCGTGTAAATATTTTTTTTTAAATCACCGAACTTCCCTGAAGTTCTGAAATTTTTACTGAAGATCCATTAACATTTCTGAGATTCTTGTGATTTTTTCAGAAGTCCTGCAATTTTTTTTTCAAAGTTCTGTAGCTTTGTTCTGAAAATCTACGAACTTTTCTGATGTTGAGGATCTCCAAACTTCTGTGGAATATTTTATATTTCACTGTACATTCTTGGACTTGTCTGAAGTAGATCTCCAACCCTCTCTGAAGCTCAAAAAAATTCTATGTGGGCTCTCAGACCTGCTGTCTGGCATGCTTATTCTTATACAATACATCCTTCGTATGCTTCCTTTTGCCAGTCTCTCTTCTTCGACTGTTTCCCTTTACGACGATTTTGATCCTCCACATACAAATCAGCGCAGAGCGAGCGTGACAAGACTCTCTGAATGAACTTGTCTCGTTCGCACACGTTGTCTTACCTGTCAGATGCTTGTCAAGTTCAGTGCCCTTAAGAAACGTTTCGAGAAACTGAACGAAAAACTTCGTTTGAATTACGAATGAAGTGATAATTGGAAAACTCCCTGAGTGGAACCAAAATTCCCTGAATATTCCAGGTTTTTCCAGAAAAAAATAAAATTCCCGGTTTTCCAGGTTTTTCAGGTAGTAGACACCCTGTTCTTGCTTACACAAACAAAATATTACTATAATATCTTATTATTCCATAATTCCATAAAATATTTTTTTATCCAAAATGAATGGAAGGCACCCTGATTCCAAGAATCAAAAATGGATTATGAAGGCTAGGTTGATGCATTTTTCAGAAGTATGACGAGAAGATTAATTGAATTGATAACAACGATAAGTTATAAATACCAATTGAACCTTTGAAAATCATGACTTTTGTGATTGTGCACATGTTAATAAAACTCTTGAAAAAAAAACTCACTCACTGCACTCCTTTAATGTTAAGAAAAGGAAACATTGTCCTCCTTTATCTTCAAACCTCAAATGATATATCCTCCTTCTCAAGTTTTTAATATGGTAACCCTGAGATCGAACTTTTTTTATTGGATCTCTATCTTCGAGTAGCTTTGTAACAGGATATGTCTTGCTCATATTTTATACTAGAACTACTTACTCGGAAAACTGTAACAAAATAATGCAAACACTTTTCTTCCAATGGCACCAAAATAAAAATCTCCATCTCACTCGTGCGCGAACAGATTGCGCGTGAGAGAAAAGAAAATAGTTTTTTGTAATTTTAAGGATTTTTAGATACTTTGCCAAGATATAATACACAAAGTTGTAAACAGATATGTAAACAAGAGATTATAATTATGTATATGATATAGAACTGATTGATTCCAAGTAACATTGCATGTTTTGAAAAGTTTTAAAGGATCCTTCGAGACCAAATTATGGCCTTCAAGACCTAAAACCTAAATTGTTACTCGGGATTAGTATATTTGATTTTTCTCGTATTTTTCCCGGCAAATCCGAATTCCCGGTTTTTTCCCGGATTTCCCGATTGAATGGACACCCTGCTTATCGGAACAGGCATAGAGAAGAACCATGACGTGAAACAGGATCATAAATACGCCGAAAAAAGTGTTAAGCGTCTTTCTGTTAAAGGCTAAGATTTACCAATTTGTTGAGAGAAGGAGTTTAACGAGAAAAACTAAAAAGGGGAGGAGCTTCAACTGGGTGGACACTGATATTCTGCGGTCTTCCAACCTGTCACAGAAACCAGTTCAACCCCTGTCCAGCAGCAGACGGGCCGAGACTCTTGCGAGAGCCCAATCATTGAACCGAAGCTATATGGGATTGTCCGGTCCTATTTGCTGATCCAGCTGCCTACACGTCATCATCATCTTCCAAAGGCATTAAGGCAAAGGATTCTCCAAAAGAGTTAAATTTCTGAACATGTCCCAACTAAAATTCATATCAAATGGTTTTTTTTTTTCAGGGCAATCATAGTCATACTAAAGAGTATAAATAGAGAGAACCCCGCTTAAATTCCTATTCCTACACAAAACACAAGTTCCTGCTGCAGTTAACAAATAACATTTATTATATAAGACCACGTAGTCCTACGTCACCATTAGTTTTTTTCCGGTTCTCCCGTCAAATTCCCGATTTTCGGGTTCTTTTCAAATTCCCGATTATTTTCCAGTTCGCTGACCACTAGAGTGATGCAAAATTTGAAATTTTCACTCCACAATACTGAAACGATTCGAAATCGGATCCTGACTAACCTCTTAAATTTTGAACCCATTTGGTGAGAAACTAAGATGGCACAAACCATTTGAAGTTTGTATGGGAATTACTATGGTAAAACCAAGATGTTTGTTCATGTCTATCTAATAATTCACCATATCGGTCTGCCTCAAAAACTTTCAACTGTACTTGTAGGAAATTTTCCCAGTTACAACTTTGCTGAATACCACTTTTTGATTAAATGCAAGGATCGAAAGTTTATCAATGGTTCAATGCGCTGATGTCTTATGATCATGCTCAATCAACTGCTCAGCAGGCAACAATTGTGTTTCTGGGGCGTTGAATAGGACACAAAAATCATGGCTACTATGTCACACTGCAAAATACAGTGTTGCCTACAAAGCAGCTGCTTGATCATGTCATAAGTTTACCAAGCTCTTGAATAATTAATAACTTTTTCCTGTCTCGTTTCACATAGAAACGGTCTTAAGCAGTTGTAGCTGAGAAAATTTTCTATAAGAATGGCTATCGAACTATTTCACAGCTCAATATGAAAAAACACTAGAAGGCAATGAATAAAAAGTTGAGATTTCCCATAGTAATTTACATGTTATCTTCAAATGGTTTGTGCGAAGTCTGTTTCTAACCAAATAAGTTGTAACTTTGGGAGGCTAATTAGGACCCGATTTGAAACCATTTAAGCACTGTGGAGCGAAAAAGTCAAATTTTGCATCAGTCTACTGACCACCCTACCGCCTGTGATTTTTCAATAAATTGTAGCACGAAAATGTCACTTCTGATTGAAATGACGGCTGAGACAAAGTTTCAGAGGAAAAATAAAGTCTTTCTGGGAAAAATAAACCCGATATATTTTATTGTAAATTCAGCAACCGACTAAACTTTCAATAGCGACTAAAAATATCCATTAGTACCAGTGTTGGCAAAATCATCAATCAAATTAAATTTTTCCGCTCTCATACGCTCTCAATATCACGCGTGGAACAAAATATCATGCTTGATATTGATTTTACAAGCTCCTTTGATATTGCGAGACTATTCACAACGTGCAAAAATCAAGCTGGGAGCGGACTCGACACAAAAATGATTTCGTTCCACCTCGTTTTCTTAGAAAGAGAAAGTATAGTTTGCTATCTCTTTTTACTCTTCACCGATGGCTGACACGAAGGGACTGCTGCCAGCCGTTAGGGAAGTTTCGGTTGCATTCGGATGTAAAGCAAAAATCATTACACTCAATCTTATCACAGTTTGGTGAGTTTTGTTAGTTTGATATTCCGAGCTGCGATATCACAGCTTGCAAAATCAACCGCAGATATTTGCTTGTTGATTTTTGTCTATGAAAATCAAGTGTGATCTTGGACATTGGTGAGATTTGATTTTTTGGTATTTTTCCAACACTGATTAGTACCGTTCCAATGACGCGTTCATCTAGATAAAATTGATAAATAGCAGATTTTTAGCGATGGTCTCAATCTGTCAAAATTTAAAATTTCTCTTAAATTTTTTTTAAAGCTCATAAAAAAATGTAAAATTTTGGAATGTTTACAACCATGCACACATCAAAATTAACCAACATTGTACAACAAGAAAAATTTTCGAACATACTGCTAGTACGCCTACATTGGAAATAATATTTGAGACATTCTACAACTGTTCAGCAGGTGTTTCTCGCGCGTAGAATAGAGCACAAAAATCATGGCTACTACGTCACACTGCAGAATACAGGGTTGCCCACAAAACAGCTGCTTGATCATGGCGCAAGATTATCTTGAACAATTAATAACTATTTGAATTGAAAGTTTGACTGAAAATCTATTTTCTGCAAAGTTGCAGCTGATAAAATTTCCCATAAGAAAAGTCAGAGCAGTATGAGACTGTTAATGAACAAAATGTTTGGTTTTCATATAGTGATTTCCATGTAAACATCAAATGGTTTGTACCAAGTCAGTTTCTTACCAAATAGCTCAAATTTTGGGAGGCTAATCAGGACCCGATTTGAAGCCGTTTGGGCACTGTGGAGTGAACATTTCAAAATTGACATCAATCTACTGTCTATGCTTTTCCAGATTTTTCAACGTGAATACAATTGTTTTGAATTTTGTCGCGGAAATTTCACTTCTAACCCACTGTGCTGAGAGTTAGTAATTTAAAAAGATCACAGCTTAAAAAAAAGAAAAGAAAATTTTGAACAGTAACTTACCTCGTTTCTGCATAAACAGGAAGAGATCATCGAGGAACTCTTTCCGCTTGGGATCATCGTTGATTTCGTATAGCTGTAAAGAGAAAAAAAAGGGTAAATATACAGTTACAAATTAGTGTACATTCACGTCAGGCACTTATTTTTTTTATTTAGTCTAAATACACACCCATGCCCAAATTAATTGTTTTAATAATCGTTAATAATGTTGGAAATCACACACACAAATGGAATGAATGCAAGGTAAGATTGTATCGCTCAACCCTCGACCGACCAAGCTAAGTGCACACTAATTGAAAATAGTTCAATAACACTTTTAATCGCTGCTTGCCACCACTGTTGTTGATGTTACTGCATTTTTTTTTGTTTCGAGTATATATGTTATTGTTATTGCTCAAATTAAGCTCGTGAACAGTTGCAATAACATAACAAAAGCAGCAGCGAAAAAAACCAGCAAACGAACAAATGCGACGACGACGACGACGACGCCGACGATGACGGGGAGGGAAAACTGCACACGTTTCAGCTTTAATTGCGATTGGCAGCGCATTAAACTTATTTAAATTTATTGCGTGCTTTGGAAAATTATTGTGCAGAGCCATGTCTTGCGTTGGTTTTTTCTCCTCTTGCTTTTCAAATTTTTCTTTTTTCTTATCGACCAGCAGCAGAACTGACACGGCTTTGGAACAATTAATTCAATGCTCCCCCCGGAGAACAAGTGCATAATTTGTTGGAATTGCTATAAAAAGCACACCTCGACCATACCTATGCAGCGAGGCAAAGGCAGGGGGAGGGGATCCGGTGCGAGGAGCAGTAGGTCGGTCCTCCAGGGTCGAAAGTTAACCACTGTGAAGCGAGGGACTACAACAAAGGGAAATTGGCCATGGTCTTTTTTTATTTGCATCCCTGCGCATCTCTTGTGAGGAGTGAACCAACAACCATGGCGGCAGGTGAAGAAAACTTTTGGGCGGCTTCAAGGTGCAAATAACGCAGTTGCGTGGCGCGCGATTAAAATGTAACTAAATTCTGATGAAATTCGAAATGTTGGCCGAAATGGTCAATTATGTGTAGAGTTAAAAATGCACCATTTTATCAGCAGTGGAACGAAACAGGCGAGAAACTGAAGGAATTTGAAAAAAACGTGCTCCACCGAGTGCAAATCACGATTGAAAGCGTAAAAAACCTATCGGTACAGATAGATGCAGTGATAGAATAGAATCAGTTATTCGAATATCATATACATTTTACTAGTTTTCTCCAGTAGAGTAGAGTTATGTTTAAAGCTACAGCAAACGCCAACCGCTAGAATAGACTTTTCACAATAATATATTTTAATATATTCGATTGAAAAATTGTGATATAATACCGTTGCCGGCATTTTAAACACCAATCATCCCACCATTTTAAACCAAGCTTGAACTGTTCTGTTTTTAATTCAGTTTCTTGTATTTCAAAAGGGGATAACGCTTCTCTTTGACACCATCAGCACCGTTCCAGCGGAATGATCTTTAAGACTTATAAACGCCACAATCAGCAAGGAAATGTTTTAACACATCGTGATCTGTATGGTATTAGGTAACAGTGCTTAGAGTACGATAACATCCTAAAGAAGGTGGTAAAATTTTGATCACAAATTCGGAAAAAGCTCAGAAGCTTGCTAAGCAATTCTAGAGTTCCCATAATTTCAATTTGGGTCTTACTAATCCTATTGAGAATCAGGTTGCTCGGGATTATCTGAATTTTGTCTTTCGGGAAAATATTTTTGATGATTCCTGGGGGACTGATTTGGACGAAGTAAGGTCTATAACTAAAAAGTTTCATAATATGAAAGCTAAAGGTGATGATGACATTTTCTTTATCCTCATCAAAAAACTCCCAGAGAGTACCTTGTCTTTCTTGGTAAAATTATTTAACAGATGTTTCCATTTGGCATACTTTCCTGATAAATGAAAAAATGCTAAAGTTGCTCCAAAGGCGGCCTTTGAACAAGTTTAACGTGCATTTTCTTTGCTGTGATTTTTTCGGAGAAACGATTTCGGAATATTTTTACAACAGTATAAAAAACCAATCTGATAGTGATTTCTAAAGTTATTCAAGTTTGGAGCTATCTTTTCGTGACTCTCAACAAAACCCGTATCATGAAGTTTTTTTCAGAGCTTCAGAAGGCAGCAGCTCCGAAAACAAACTCCTCCAGTGAATCCCCGACGTTACGGAGAAGCGAACCACAAGGGCTGATCCTGGGGACTCTTTTAGTGATATTTCATTTTAGCTGAACCTGATCTGGATGATCAAAATTTGAAAATTACAAAAATATAACAGATACAGGACTACGGGAAATTCTCCCTGAAGAAAAGGAATCACCAGGAATCAGGATGTATTCAAGGAGAGGCAACATGTTAATTCTGTTGAATAGTACCAGGCGGATATCTGCCTGATTCAAGCAAGAAAGGTGGACCATTAAAGTAGCAGTAGCGCCATGCAATTTCATTCTGTTGACATTGCTCATGGATTCATTTGGTGAGTTCGTTCCTACTTATTAACGCTTATGATTATGATGGTAAACAGTATTGAATGGTCACAAACAACTGCAGAATCTGGTGAGAGCTTACCATTTATTTAATTTAAATATTTGTACAGTAGTCGTTTGATTTAGGCACGGTTCGATTTTAGCAACAAAATCACAAAACCGTTCGCTTTTGGCACGGGGTTTAATTTTGGCAACGTGTCAAGATTGAACGGAATTTGAAAATAGTGTGTTTTTGCTCCTTGTGATTACAACTTTTAATAAGAGATTTATTATTAGTAACGTCTATGTCATGGCGATGCCTCGCAGTGGTCCGAAGTCAACCAAATCATAAATTGAATTTAAAAATAAGACCGTTCGATTTTGGAAACACTAAAATTTTGGGCTTGCTGCCAGAACGGGTACAATTTAACTGCAAAGGAATAGGTGGATTAAAAGTTTGTTAATAAACGTTTTATAATCTTGTACGCGAAAACCCAACCCTCTTACCCAACATCCCAGTTATTCCTCGTGGAAGTGCAGAGGATTTCTCGGCTTCCATCAAAGCGAGTGTCACGTCAACACATTCCTACCCATTCCTTTCTTGACATGTGTTCGGGCGCGGCCGGCATTGGTATTGCCTAGTTTGAGATCACCAGTTTTTTACAAATTGAGGATGATTGCTAGTCCCAAGCATCAAGATTTTCCAGTAATCAAAGGATCACATTTTAGTCCTTGTTACTTTTATGACTTGATAATAGTGACGAGACTCGTGTATTGACCACCGCACCGTTCTGCATTTCTATATTGTATATTTCAAATCAAAAATATTGTTTATGTTCATAGATTTCACATAATCCTTTTCCCTTTGTCCTTCTCATTTTCCTTTCCCTCTTCTCTTTTCAGAAAGCGAGTAATGGCGCTATAGCCATAAGTCATAGAAGGCTAGGACAAGAGTTAGTGCTCATGTCCCAACCGTCAGAAGAAAATAAAGCATCACTTAACATTTCTAGCTTTGATGCTTCCAACGACCAACCAATCATATAATTACCAAAACCGGAACGTACGGTACGAGATGTCCACGTTTCATCCATTCATTGGATTCTGAAGCATCGTGTTTAAATCTTCAATTTAAACAGGCCCGATGTTTCCTGAATTATCTTGCCCCTTAAATGCTGCACAGTAGGCCTGGCCGTTTTGATGTGTGTGACGCATCTTCGATGTGAAACATATATCAAATAGACAAGAAAAATGATGTAGGTATATATATATATATATAATTTTCCAGGATGCTTACAAGAACTGGCTGTGTTGGTTTTAGATTAGATTAGATAGAGTAAACGCTCCTATAGTTGCGGTACGTTAGAAGCGTTAGGTTCCTATATAGGAATCTAACGCTTCTAACGTACCGCAACTATAGGAGCGTTTCCCCTAATCTAATTTCCTGAAGCTTAGTTCATATTTTTTTATTTTCTGGATTTATTGCCGACTTTCGCCTGGAATTTTTCGATTCCTCTCGGAACCTTATTTCAACTTCCCTTGGAAGCTTCATTAGCCTTCGCTCGAATGGTTCTTTCGTCTTCTCCCACTAGTTTTTTTAAACTTTCCCGGAACTTCAGAGATGCTTTCAGATTTTTTATTAGAGATCCACACTTAGCTCCAGGAACTTTTAAGAAGTTCTGAAACTTCAGAAAAGTCCACACTTTTGAGTAACTTCGATACATTAAAGATAGTTTCATTTACTTCTGTTAAAATTCGAAAACCCGTAAATTTCAGGAAAGTCCAGCGAACATCAGTGAGTTGTTTTTTATACAGATGGTTCAAGATTAAACAATCACGTGGGAGCAGGAGTAACTGTCCCAGGGATAGAAATATCGGTTCCTATGGGCAGATGGCCAACTGTGTTCTAAGCTGAAATCCAAGCAATTTTAGAGTGTTCCATTATATATTTGCGTAGAAACTATAAGAGTTAAAATATATGCGTCATGTTCGACAGTCAAACTACTCTAAATGCTTTAAAGTCGGCAACATGTACATCAAAACTTGTCTGGGAGTGTGTTCAATCACTTCAAAAATTGTCTTGTCATAATCAAGTCAACTTATATTGTCATTGTGGGATTGAGGGAAATGAAAGAGCTGATGCACTAGCAAGACTCGGACCTTCTCATAAGTTCATCGGGCCAGAGCCCTTTTGTGGCTTATCGGCTGTATCTCTTAGAATGGAGCAAAAAGCGTGGGAATCTTCAAAAGTGGAGGAAAACTGGAAGAACACTTCTATTGCTAGGCAGTCGAAGCGATTCATTAATCCAAACATTTCTGTGACCCACAAAATCCTGGAACTGTCTAAGAAAGATCTTAGTATATATGCAGGTCTTATAACAAGTCATTGTCCGAGCCGTTATCACTTGAAGCTGATTGGAAAACTTCAAGATGATGTATGTATGACAAGGTGCTGATAGAACCAGAACTTTGACATTTGGAGAACAACTCCCAGTACGGCAGTGCACTTTATTCGAAGTATAATGCCGTGCTGGGATAATGCTATTAGTCAAACGATGGCGATCACTCCTAAT